CCTTTTGATATTATGCTGAAAATAAAAAATAATATTGAGATTCCAGGTACACCTCTTTAATAGAAATTAAACAGTAAGCAATTTTATTATTTTAAATATGTATATCTCTTGTGTTTTGATTTTGTTTTTTTATCCAATCTCCAGATATTCTCTCCTCTTTTGATTTGTCTTGTGGTACAAATTTATGTCCGTTTTATATAACTTATAACACTTGAGTTACTATATAGAATTGTGTATAATCAAGGGTTTATATAGAATTTTAATATCAGGGTTCTCAAGCAACAGATGCATTATATACAGTATTCTCAAACACTAGTGTTTACTAGAACAGTAGAGTTTCAGACAATTCCCAGAGATTTACCCTAAGACCAGTCAGACCCCACAGAACCTAAAAATAAGTGATTTATTCCAGGACTATGTGGGCACTGATTCAGCTGGAAGAGTTGCAGCCTCATCCTGTACCTCTGAGGGTAAAAAGAAATACTTAGAGGAAGATAAGATAAATGTAGCTTGTGCCCAGGTTTATCAATATTCTACAAAAGAAATGCAGCATTTTTCACTACCCTAGTTCTAATTCCTTTTTAACTCTTCACAAATAGCCACTACATGAATTTGGTGTGTATCTTTCCAGTCTGTTTTTATACTTTACGATACATATTTGTATCTATAATTATATATTTTGTTGTTTTGAATATTTGTAAATAGTAAATTGTAGACATTATTATGTACATTTTTTACTCACCCTTTGAAATCTATCCATATTGATACTTTTATTTATTTGTTTTTAATGAAATCTTTCTTGTTCAGATTATTACATTCGTTCCTCTTTTTTCCCCCCATAACTCCCCTCCTCCCAATGCCTGTCCCACCATCCGCCCTCCCTCCCCACCCACTGTCCTCATCCATAGGTGCACGATTTTTGTCCAGTCTCTTCCCGCATCTCCCACACCCTTTCCCCCCACAAGAATAGTAGTCCATTCCCTTTCTATTACCCTGATTCTATTATGATCACCAGATTATTTATTTCCAACACACCTATATGGGCCTGCCGTCTTAGGAGTTGTGAGGTGAGTTAAAAACAACCCTTAACTAGATTCACTTAATGAATTACAATTCATCCCAAAATGTCCACCTTTTTTTGTTTCTTAATCCTCAATGGATGGTATTTTTCCATTGATTTTTAGAGAGAGTGTAAGGGAGAGGGAGAGATAGAGAGAGAGAGAGAAACACCGATGTGAGAGACACATCGATTGGTTGCCTCCAGCATGCACCCTGACCGGACCGGGGATTGAGCCTGCAGCTGAAGTACGTGCCCTTGACTGGAATCAAATCGGTGACGCTTCAGTCTGCAGGCCGATGCTCTATGCACTGAGCCAAACCAGCTAAGGCCCAAAATGTCTACTTTTGAAAACGACTAGCAGAGGCTGTATCTCTCATCTATTCTTTTATTCCTTAGAGTTTGTATGATCTATTAAAGTAGAGATAATATAAATCTTCTCACTTCACTATCATTTCTTCCCTTGTCTTTCATGAAAATATAAACATGGCTTTTTAATATATATATACTTTTATAGATTTTAGAATGGGAAAAGGAGAGAAACATCAATGATGAGAGAGAATCATTGATCAGCTGCCATCATTTTTCTCTACTTTTGATCTTTTGACCATTCCTTCTCTTTCTTTGCTTGTGCTTATTTATTTTCATCTTCTCAGTGGAAATTCTTCAAAGTTCACTGTTTGACTTTATTTTATTTCTCTACATTTTATCCCTTGTACAGCTTATCAACTTTGTTGACTTTCAACTATCACTTTTATAAAAATCCCCAAATATATATCACCAGTTTCTTCCTTTTTTATTTCATTTTATTGAATTTATTGAATGACATTGATTAATAAAATTATATAGGTTTTAGGTATACAATTCTATAATACATTATATGTATACTGTATTGAGTGTATATACATACAGAGAAATATATATATATACTTGTCTATATTCTAAGCATCTACATTCAAAAGGGGAAACCAAGTTAATTAGTAAATTCTGTGTCCATTAGATAAAAGTATTTATGCTAATTTCCACAAACTAAGAAAAAGAAAAACCCATTACAC